ATCCTGGAAAAAGAATAAGAAAGAAACAAGTTTGAAAATTAGTTCTTCATGTAAATGATCAGAAAGTTCTGAGTTTACTCTCTCTATGTGCCACAGAAGTACTCACATTGTCCTGATCGACTTCCCGGATTAGCTCTTCCAAGTGAACATCCACAATGCCAAACTCCTCACAGGCTTGTTGAAGCTCATCTTGAGTGATATAGCCACTGCCATCTTTGTCAAAGTAAGAGAAAGCTGCAAACAAATGATCTTCTCTCTCTACTTTGTTTAGATGCAAAGTTGCTGCTATGAACTCCCCGTAATCGATTGTGCCACTATTGTCAACATCTGCCTGCAATTCAGAACAAGTAACATTTGCATAAGAACAATTGAAGATCCACAAACAAGTTGGATGAAGGAAATATGTGGAATTGCAAATTTTTGTTTCTGAGGCATACTTTTCCAGAAACCTATCAAAGGCAATAGGTAGCATCATTCAGTTTAGAAGGATAATGCTGATATAAATACTCACAGCTTGCATAAGATCATATATCTCAGACTCATTTAGATTAGCTCCAAATCTTTTCAGTCCATCTCTAAGTTCTTCAAACGTAATTTGACCGCTATTGTCAGTATCTATCATTTTGAACATTTCTTTTAAACCAGCAATTTCTTCTTCAGAGAGGTGCTCTGCAATGACCTGCAGGCAATACAAGTAGAGTTAGAAGCCAGCTTCACAAGAATTAATGAACTTAGAAGTATAAAATACAATGGCAAAGACTCTTACTCTAAGAGCCATTTTCTTAATTTTGTGCATTGCAGAAAACTGCTTCAAGCGACTTAAAACTGCGGAATCAAGAGGCTTGTCTGGAGCCACTCCATCAACCTGAACCCAAGGGTGGCCTGCAAGAAATCAGAGCAAACATTATTGTTTTGCAATGCTGATGGCATCCTCCAACATATGAGACCAATCTTTCCCTTATAAAACTGCACAGCCTCAAGATTCATTTAAACCAATAATGGCTCTGACGATAGAATTCATTCTACATTCTAGGCTAAACATATTGCAGGATCTGATTCTAAGAGAAATGTAATTGAATTTGTGCCTCTCTTGACGAAGGGGATTGTCCTAGTCTCACTTTCTTGATAATAAACAGAAATGTATAAACTTACACAGAACTTGATGAGCAGTTATCCGCTTTTTCGGGTTTCTAACAAGCATCTTCTTAACTAGATCTTTGGCACTTCGAGAAATACTAGGCCAGGGATCTGATGAGAAGTCAAGATCACCATGCAAAACCTCTTCAAATATCTCTTGCTCTGTTTCTGTTTCAAATGGAAAAGAGAGAATAAGAAGAGGAGAAAAATGCCAAGTGCTTTGTGGAAAAGCGCAGGCACACCCACACGCACACACTCGAGACAGGAAAGACATTGTAAAACTCTTACCACCCCAAAACGGAGGCACCCCACTTAAGAGAATGTAAATGATAACACCAGCACTCCATACATCTGCTTCCGGACCATAGCGCTTGCGCAGGACTTCAGGTGCAACATAATACGGGCTTCCAACCACATCACCGAAAATCTCCCCTGTCAATTTAAGTGTGTCAATGATATAGAAGACAAAGAAAAGTAGGATGCAGCACCACAAAACTTATAAAATATTGTAGCCATGAAAATAAGCAGTGGGAAGCATGCAAAGAAACAGAGTTCACAGTATACCTAAAAGTCAACCAATAATTAAGAGAGCTACATATGTTTTGACAAAGTAAAAGAAGTATATATATATATATATATATATTTTAAATCATCGAAGGTGTAACGCCCTGCTTAATAATATATGCTATCACTTCAGATGGGAGAAAATGTAACAGTAAATAAAATCATAAAAAGGAATTGATCTGTAAGGTAAGAAAGAGGACAATTGTTAAGACATACCTGGCTTAAAGAATATTGATAATCCAAAATCTATAGCCTTAAGGGACGAATCCTCGTCTTCATTGACGAAAAGAAAGTTCTCCGGCTTAAGATCACGATGCATGACACCCAAAGAATGGCAGGCTTCTATAACACCAACTATAGTCCTTGTTAGTTGTGCTGCCTTTCTTTCGGTGAAATGGCCCCGCTTGATAATCCGATCAAACAGCTCACCACCTGAACATAATTCCATGACAAAATGAACTGCAACAGCATCCTCATACGCTGCCTTAATCGCGATCACATTTTGATTCCCTGCCAAGTGATGCATTATTTGAATTTCTCTCCTCACATCCTCCACATCTTCTGTATTCAGCAGTTTCCTTTTAGCAATGGATTTACAAGCATACTCCTTTCCAGTTGATTTCTCCACACAATGAAAAGTTGTCCCAAACTGTCCATGTCCAAGCTTTTGGCCCAAATCGAAGAAATCCTTCAAATGACCTGTTTTGGTTTGCAAGACAGAGTCAGCCTGAAGCCCTGCACTTGCTACCCTCTTGACACTATGAGGCTTCTTTGGTCTTGCCACCACTGCAGGCTTAGTCTCTGCCTTTTGTGGTATTGGTTGTCCTGGTTCCTTGAGAATTTTTGGTTTTGCTGGTTTAGTCTCTCCTTTTTGAAGTGTTACTTGTCTTGCAAGTATGGTCTCTTCTTTCTGCTTCTGAGGTTGTGCCGGTTCCTTAGGCTTGTCTGGCTGCACCGGCTTATAGTCTTCCGTAGCTATTTTAACTTGTTCCGGGGCCTTGTTTTGAACATAAAGAGGAGCTTCTGAGTTCTTCTTACTCAATTGTGGTGTTGCATCAGTACTATTAATTTCTCTACTGCCATGAGAAACAAAACCTGTCGATCGAGACCACCAAAGCGAATTCGAGACTGAATGGAAGAGACCATCCTTCGTCGATCCAACGCAGTTGTTTCCCATCGGATATTGATCTCTATTCTCATCAAAAATCTAAAAGCAGAGACATATCATATGAAGGCCAAAATCCCATTTCTTTCCTCCCAAAAAGGTAATGGATATTAAAATGAAAGAACCAAAAATGGAGCATTATCCCCCAATTACCAACTCAATCGCAATTACTTTAACGACAATAAATACTTGAAATGAATCCACCAACCAGCAGAGAATTCTGTATTGCTCACTGTAATAAAGAATTCAAACAATTCTAATCAACATATTATAATCTTCTCAAACAAAAGCTGTGCCCCAGAAAGAGTCTCAAATATACACAAAGACTCAGCCTCAGCCTCAGCCAAAAAAAGTCCAAACACATCAACCAAATCAAGCTATCCCAAAAGACCCAATTGCCTAAACTCTCTTACAAGTTAGAAAAAAACATAAAATTTCCTCAAAAACCATTCAACCTTCCAATGCATTACCCGAAGGAGAAGAAAGACTATCCAAAACCCAAACTTCGACGAAACCCAATATTTTGAGGCCAACTATATTGACAAATTCCACGTCAAAAAAGGAAGAAAATTTTCAGATTCTGAAGGGAGGGAAAAAAAAACAGAGAAATGAACAATGGCAGAAGAAAAAGGAAAAAAAATGAAAACACAGTCGTCTTGTGTGGTTTTGGAATTGTGAAAAAGAGTACTAGGGTTTTCTCTCTACCTTTGTTCCAAATTTATATAATCATGCACAAGAAGAAGGAAGGAAATTGAGGAACGAAAGAGAGAGGGAGGGAGGGAGGGAGAGAGAAGGTAGGTTTTTCTGTTGGAATGTTTCAAAACTTATAAAGACGCGTTTTTTTTTCTTTCTTTGCCTTATGTTTGACTGTGATTACCCAAACAGAAACTTTTTACCTTTCGGATTGGGACCCACTTGATAAAATATATTTACGATCTTGGACTGCAAAGCGGAATGGACGGCTGAGATCTTGTGATTTAGAGGACTTTCAGATTGTTTTGTTATGACCGGCACACCATCAAGTTGTTACAGCTGTACAACAAGGATTTGCCGGTTTGCGGGATCTTAGTGGGCCGGGCTACCGCCGGCTGCCGGCCCGAGCCGGTGTGATTTCCTTTCTATTTTCTTAATATTTTCAATTACCACAATTGGAGGGTAATATGAATATTGTTACTTGGTTGAGAAAAATGTAGTTGGCAATTGAATTATGTTTGTACCGCTTTTGGTTATGTCACTAACCACAGAATCATAGAAGACAAATCTACTAAAAATTAATAGAATCGCCAAATTTTCTTAGCTGACAATGTATCGATATTTTACTTATCAGAAATAAAAATAAGTGAGATTTATAATTTGTCTTTGTTCGAATAAATAAGACACAACTACCACTAAGCAAACAAAATTTTTGGTATACAAATTGGGGTTGGTAGCAATATTCACAAAGCATGCTTCATCTTGCCTTCTTTCTTTTATCAAGAGTTTAGATTCATTCTTAGATGTGTCTCTAGGTAATGTAGAAGTTTCCTCCCAAATACCTAGAGCATATGACATGCCAAGCACTAAATGCAGTCTTCCAAATTTTTTTTTTCCAATTCTCTCCATGCGAATATTATTGTTGTTAACAACTGAAATGACCATCTTTTTTATACCCAAGAGAGAGAGAGAGAGAGAGAGAGAGAGAGAGAGAGAAGACCATTGACTTGACTTGACACTGATCCAACTGTAATTCAGATAACATCGTAGGAACTTGTTTGACTCCACGAGGTTGGCTGTGTCTTTGGTTTGATAAATCTTTCCTTGGTCAATAATGGCTTTGTAATCGTGTAGCACCACTATCTGGTATTGGTTTTTGGTAGGTAACTGGAAACTTCGTCCAAAACAGATGATCCTAAAATTGTCCTAGATTAAAAAACATTATATTTTATCCAACAACACTGTGAGGTGTGGCACTAACTAGGCATCGACTGGCCCATTCTCATTCTATATGAAAGTTTGAAATTAGTGTGAAAACGAAATAAGAGCAGCATAATATGTCATCAAGATGTCATATAAGTATATCCCCTGCTTTGTAATTCTATCAATTGATGTGAGAAAATAATTGATGTGCTAATCAGAAAATAGGATTTTTCTAACATTAGTAGGCACATTCATATATAGGGCGAGACAGATGATTCATGCTAAACCATAAAACCATTGAGAAACCATTGCATTATAACATGAACGCATTATTGTCAAATGGAATTGCAGTCGAGCCCTCGTAGGAACTGCATTCTACTACGAGTGAGATATATCGCATATTCTATTTTGAGGCGAACGGGAAGATAGGAAAATAACAGCGGAAGTCTGATAGTCACTCTATTAACAAGCTACTGGACAACATTTATGTGACCTACCGTGGGCTTGCTTCAAACATCTCTCGCCAACCCAGAAAGATCAACTTGCCCTGAGTCGTTGCCGCCATTTGCTTTAGGAAAAGA